ATCAGTTCATCCAGTCTGAGAGTAGCAATATTCTTGGATTCCTGAATGGCAGTGATTTTGCTTTCCCATGTGACTGGCAGAACCCTTGTCAGAATTTTCTCAACCTTGTCTTCTTCAAGAATGATCCTTCCAAGAGATTTAAGTTCATTTGTCAGTGTAGTGAACCTAGTATACATTTCTTGAATTGTTTCTCCTTCCTTCATGGTAAAGTTCTCATATTGAGAATACAGCAGTGTTCCTCTGGACCTCTTTACTTGAGGTGTTCCTTCATGAGCCACTTGCAAGGTGTCCCAGATTTCCTTAGCAGTGGTACAGCTTTGAATTCTGCTGTACTCATCAGGACCTAGTCTGCACACAAGCCATTTCTTGGCTTTAGCATTTTTCTCCCACTTCCTTAGGTCTTCAGCAGTGCAGTCAACCCTTGTCTTTGGCACATCAACTCATTCTGCATTCTTCTTTGTGGTTGCTAGGGGTCCATCAGTGACTATGTCCCAGAGTTCATAGTCTTCCCCTATGATGTGATATCTCATCTTGTTCTTCCACCAAGAATAGCACTAACCATTGAAAAGTGGAGGCCTAGCAGTGGATTGCCCTTCCCAGTTCCCAGGTGGTGCACTCATGTTGATCTTCTCCTAAGGTGTTAGCCTCTTCAAGGATAACCCGCTCCGATACCAATTGATGTTCTAAACGTCAATACCACACAAGAGGGGGTGATTTGTGTGGTATCCAATTTTCGCTCTAGAAGAACCTGGTTCTTCTAGGTGTACTTACAACTACTGTTTGCAGAATTAAGAGCACATAAATAAAGAACACAGAGATTTTTACGTAGAAAACACCTGGCTCAAAAGGTGAAAAAACCATGACCTACTACTCAGTAGGATTTTCCCAAACTTCCACTAAAATCACTGAGCCAAAACAGCATTTACAAAACTCTTGTAAACCTAAGGATTAAACTCTAATCCCAGTATGGCACACAGTCTCAACTGTTGCGACACTTTCAAGTTAATTCTAACTTGAATACTCAAAGTACCTAATACATTGCTTCTATGAAAGCTGGAAAGGTAAAACTTTAAAACACCTACTACAGTTGACTAGAATAAAAGAAAGACACAATGGAATTGGTTCTTCTATCTTGTCCAAGTAGCTTCAGGAATGCACGCTTGAATCTCACATAAATTGCTTGCAAAATTGCCTCGCTCTTTTGCTCTCAATTTAGTATAACTTCTGCGTTTGTGCAATACCTGTAAAAGAGAACAATCACTGTTATTTAATGAATTAGTAATCAGAGTTTGATTGAGACTTAATTGTTGATCTTCCATCGAAGTTGAGTCCTTGAACAATACAAACTCCAACCCTATCCTTTATCTGAATTGTGTCCTCTTCCCATGAGGAGACTTTCTCTCCTCCTCCAATATGCAACCTTTTCGATTAGTTCAGGAGATATTGTTGCTTGATCACTGAGACTTATCTCCTTCACGTGTATCTCACATGTCTAAGTTGATAAATACTGTGCCTCACATGATGGACCTGGTCCATGACTGAGTTCATTTGTCATTCTTCAAAACTTCACCTGAACTTGGGCCAACAATGTTGTGTATCCATGGTCTCCCGAGGAGTTCATTATACCTCATGTCGCCTTCGATGAGTGTCCTGTATGGTTCCAGCTACGTTTACTGGTAGGATTATCTCCCCCTTTGTTGTTTCGCTTGCCATATTGAAGCCATTTAGGACCCGGGACGCAGGTACAATCTGATCTTATAGGCCGAGTTGTTCCACGACCCTTGATCTGATTATGTTTGCTGATCTACCTGGATCCACTAGAACACGTTTAACTTGAATCTTATTTAAAAGAATAGAAATTACCAGGGCATCATTGTGCGGTTGGGATACGCCTTCTGCTTCTTCGTCACAGAAAGATAGGACGTCCTCGAGCACATAGCTCCGAGTCCCTTTTTCTCTGGTGATTGATACCTTGGTGCGTTTGAACACAGGTCCTTGTGGGATGTCGACACCGCCAACGATCATGTGGATTACATGTTGTGGTTCTTCTTGCTCATTTTTTCTTGCATCTCTTTCCCTGAAATGGTTTTTAGCTCGATCACTGAGGAATTCTCGAAGATGACCCTCGTCGAACAGCCGAGCTACCTCCTCTCTTAGCTACCTGCAGTCTTCGGTTCTATGGCCATGTGTGCCATGATACTTACACATTAAATTTGGATTCCTCTGAGAAGGATCGATTTGGATTGGCCTAGGCCACCTGGTATCTTTGATTCTTCCAATAGCTGACACGATCCCTGATGCGTCTATACTGAAATTATACTCTGACAATTGAGGTGCCTCCGCGGGATAAGTGTGTTTATCGAACCCGCTCTTACTCATGAATCCCCTAGAGCTCTGTCCTCAATCATTTCTCCGATCATTCCGAGGAGCGTTACGGCTTGCACCATTGTTTCTCCGATCAACATACGGCTGATATCGTTCTTTGTTTGACCTCGATTCCCTATCTGTATCCCTCGGGGGCCTGGCTGCCGATCTGTTAGGATGAAATGCACTCGAGGGGGATCATAACTGGTCGTCCTCGACCCTAATCTTTGATTGATAACGGTTATGCACATCGGACCACGTCACGGCTGGATGCTCGATCAAATTCTGCTTTAACTGTCGAGATGCAATCGAACTCTTTTTATTCAAACCCTGCATGAAAGCTTGCACTGCCCAGTAATCCGAGACCGGTGGTAATTCCATTTGCTCTATCTGAAACTTGGACACGAACTCTCTCAATATTTCGTCGTTCCTTTGTTTTATCTTGAATACATCTGACTTCCTCGTTGCCACCTTTATGGCCCCGGCATGTGCTTTCACGAAGGCGTCTGCCAACATAGAAAATGAGTCAATAGAGTTAGGAGGAAAGTTGTGATACCAAATCATGGCTCCTTTCGACAAAGTTTCTCCGAATTTTTTCAACAACACGGACTCGATCTCATCATCATTAAGGTCGTTACTTTTAATCCCACAAGTGTATGAAGTAATATGCTCGTTAGGGTCGTTTATCCCGTTATATTTAGGTATATCGGGCATGCGAAACTTTTTAGGGATGGGCATCGGAGCCGCGCTCTGAGGGAATGGTTTTTGTATGAACTTTTTTGCATCTAAACCTTTCAAAACTGGAGGTGCCCCCGGTATCTGGTCAACACGGGAGTAATAAGTCTCCACCTTCTTATCATTGTCCTCAATCTTCTTTTCTCCGGACTCGATCCTCTTGGTGAGCTCTTCGAGCATCCTCATAATAGTGGGGTCAGTCCCCGAGTCATTCCCGTTCGACCTCTCTGGTGCTGGTTCAGCACGCCAAATGTTTTCTGGTTCAGCTACACTCGGAGTTTTATTCTGACTTTGAAGTTGAGCGATGGCGTGGCTGAGCTTGTAGCATCTCGAATATCACTTGGAGGCTGACTCCCCCATCTCCTATACCTGGTGTTCCTTGGCCCCCAGATCGGGCTTCCCTGCGTACACTCCCTCCGGGGTCTGCGCCTAAATCTGCGTTTAAAGCAATGTGCGAACTAACATCAACTGGTTCCAGATTTGGCATTTCCCCAGGGTTTATTGGTGGTACACCGACCCCTACATTCTTGTTTTCCCCATGAAATCCAAGACCTTCGTTGTCATGAACAGGTGTATTTTACGAGTTTGACATGTTTAATCCTGGGAATCAGAAAATCTTGACAAGAAAAAGTGTAAAAATAACGTGTGTAACGAGAATCGGTAAAGAAATAATCACTATTATCGTTAGCCCCACGGTGGGCACCAAACTATTTACCTCGAAAATACGAGTAACAATTAAATTTGATTTGTGGTTTTAAAGATATGTGATTTAGTTCAATACCAATTAATAATTAAGAAATATGAAGTAGAAATGAAAGAAATAAGTGAATCAAACCAATGTTACTCAGCAGTGGTGACCTCGAGCTTAGTGACCTCGAGATGAACTAAGAGCAATAAAGTAAGAACAATAAACGTAAAGGACAATTCTGATGAACAGTAAGAGAGAAAAGTAGGATAGTATATTCTTGTCAATGATCAGATGATGTTACAAATGATTGGGTCCCCTTTATATAGTAGGGGAACCCTAAATAAGGTACATTTCTATTTACAATAAGGAATATTATTGGTACAGCTGTCTAACCGCCTATTACGGAATTGTACAATCCTATTCCGGGATTTGCGCCATAATTTTGGGGACGTGGCAGGAATCTAGCTCATTCTGTTACAAATCCATAACGGTACAATTTCGGGGTCGAGCATACTTAACTTCGGTATTCCTCGCACTCCTATCTTCGGGCATTGCATTCTGTCCTCGAGCTCGAATCTAGTCTGTCAACCTCGAACTCGAGCTTACTTGAACTCGGACCTAAGACGATCCCTCGAGCCTAGGAAATCGGGCATGCTCGATTTCGACCGTATACAGTCGCATCGTTACCTTATTTTTTTCCTCTCATGTTGCTCTTCCTCATTATCAAACAATCTTATTCTATCAATTTATCATTTACCTTATCTTTATATATAATAATTCTACCTCATACCTTACTTTTTCTTTGTAATATTTCAAGTTTATTCTTCACATTGTTGGTGCATAACATCATAAAGTGACGACAAACAATACAATATATTCAAATATTATATATATCAAAATAATACAGTACAATACAATACAATACGATATAATACGATATATTATGAAACGACGCATGCATAACAACCATCCAAACAAGCTAATACAAATTGTCTCCAATACGTAAAGCATCCAACTTCTTTTCCAGCAAAATTAAAGATATAAAATAGTATTGTAATCAATTATTCCTAGCTAAACTTGTTACAGTTTGACAACGAAAAATTGCAATTTCCTCCGGCAATGTTTCTATAATTACTAAAATTACCCAAAATGTTTTCGATCAATCCAAATTGCACCCTACATAAGGAAAAAGAACCATCCGAGAACTCCCGCCCCTGCTCTTGCTGCAACATCTTCCCTGTAAACCCCTAAACCCTAAATTCCAAAACTTTATCAAAATGCACATTTTCCTTAAAATTTCTACAAAGCTCTTACAATCCAAATCCAAACCCTTAAATTACCTCACATGGATCCCTCCAGTTTTCTTGCAATCCACAAAACAAATGTCACAGTCAACTTCCATACCCAGAAACCAACAACGTGTTCGCGACCACGGTTACGATGATTACATGGAAGTTGAAAAAAAAATCCGCAAAGTCATGAAATTCCAAGAACAGCTCCTCACTCAGCCAACCTCAATGATCCCCATTTCTCGCCTTGACATGCTCGCTCGCCGTTTTGGGTTCAAGCAATACGAAGCAGGCAAGTTTATTCTCAAATTCCCACATGTTCTCGAGGTTTTCGAACACCCGGTACAAAGAATTCTTTATTGCAGGCTCACCCGTAAAGCATTGCTTCAAATTGAGCAAGAAAAATTAGCTCTTTTAGCTCAATTACCTGAAGCTGTAATCCGTTTAAGAAAGCTTTTAATGCTTTCGAATACGGGAAGATTAAGGCTTGAACATGTTAGGATTGCAAGAAAAGAATTTGGTTTACCTGATGATTTTGAGTTTTCTGTTGTTTTGAAGTATCCTATGTATTTTAGGTTGTTTGATGCTAAAGAGACTAGGAATAAGTACATTGAGGTTGTAGAGAAAGACCCGAAATTAGCTGTTTGTGCTGTGGAGAGAGTTAGAGAGAAAGAGTATAGAGAAAAGGGTGGTGAAGAAGAGAATGTGAGGTTTTATTTTAGGGTGAATTTCCCACCAGGTTTCAAGATTGGGAAGTATTATAAGATTGCTGTTTGGAAATGGCAAAGGCTGCCTTATTGGTCGCCTTATGAGGATATCTCGGGTTATGATTTGAGGTCGCTCGAGGCGCAGAAGAGGATGGAGAAGAGAGCAGTGGCCACTATTCATGAGTTGCTGTCATTGACGGTTGAAAAGAAGATTACTTTGGAGAGAATCGCGCATTTTAGGTTGGCGATGGATTTGCCGAAGAAGCTGAAGGACTTTCTCCTTCAGCATCAGGGAATATTTTATATCTCGACAAGGGGAAATCAGGGGAAATTGCATACGGTGTTTCTCAGGGAGGCTTATAGGAAGGGAGAGTTGATTGAGCCAAATGATCTGTATTTAGCTAGGAGAAGGCTGGCTGAGTTGGTTTTGATGAGTCCAAGGAAAGCCAATATGGATAAAGAATTGGTTAATTATAGAAGGCGGGGAGACGACGATGAAATAGCTGCTGTGAGAAGAGACAACGTCGAGAATGAAGGAGATCATTCAACAGTTCAAGAGACAGTTAGCGAAGATGAGGAGAGAGAAGAAAGCGTGGACTACGATGATGATTGCAGCAGTGACTCTAAGTACACAGATGAAGAAGACAGTGGTGATGATGTTACTGATGATTTAGGAAAAGAAACATCATAATATTACTAATTATTGCAACTTCGAAAGCAATATGTTAAATGCCGTAAACGGACAGTGCGATATTCTTTCATTTGTGTAAAAAGAACAAATCATTGCTTGGTATTTGTCTCTTAATCAGAATGTTTTGTCATTTTTGGCTCAACTGAAATGTCTTCCAAAGAATTTCAAGGAAAATATTAGAGAAGACATAGTGAATCCATTTTGATCTTAACGTGGACTTGTCGGTTAGAAAGATTCAGCAGTACTATCCAAAGAGGTGATTTATGTCCTTCATAAAAGAACTTTTGGCTTTGGAACACAACAAAGTGAACTTTCGCCGAGAGGTGCAATGTTTTACATTGGTATTCTTGCCTTCCTCTTGCCAGCACATCTCCAGAAGCATCATATTTACTACAGCCTGCATAATGTTAAAAGAACTATCTACGGGTAACTTCCAGCTTGTCATGTTGACTAAGAGGGAAAGGAAAAGGGAAGATCACAGATACCGCCAGTCTATTTGAATTGAAAAAACATCTTATGCTAGTATGCACACACGTGAGATTTATTTAAGAGAAAGAGAACAGAGGAGAGCTTGATTAAACTAGAAGCATGTCCCTTTTCTTAGCACTAAGACAAAGCCTTCATCCCTTTCAGCTTGAAAAGTGAACAAGCATGTTCTTTATGAATTCCACTGGATCGAGTGTTCATTTCACAAAGAGGTAAATATTAAGAAACAAAAATCAGCATCTTTAAAATGTGTATTTATTTCTAACCAACAGTTTTTTAGGCAGATGTTATTTTTTTTAATTTTTTGGTTTTCTCCAGATCGTCAAATCTTGAAGGATAGTTGCATGATTTGGGAACTATGATAAAAACATACCTTAAACTAATGGAATTATCTTATCATTCATCCAAGCCACTCTGCTAGCTTTTGTGCACTTTCAGGATGCAGCCAAGGGGCTTCTATCGAGTAGAGAGGAGATTGGACAGTTTCTTTGACATAGTTTTAATGTGCTTTGTCCACATCCAAGGTAAAAGTCATCACTATCATCCAAGAAATTTGAGGCTAGAGTCATTGTTAATTGCCTCAATGGTTTCAGCTTTTTGTCAGAGAAGCATGTGGGTGTCCAAGATTTTGAAAGATCGTGAGTCGAAATCGAGTGGAAGGGCTCACAAAGAGGAATGACAAGAAGAATTTTACAAAGGAAGAGTCTTTAAAGGAAGATGGGATTGTCAAATGGAATGAGGAATTTAAAGTATGTAACTTTTCAGCTTATAAAGGAGGTGTTCATCCTTGGGAGGTTGCCCTTAGTGTGTTCAAACTGAGTTCTTGATTGCCTTTACCTCTGATTCTGTTGGTTTTTCTGGATTCTGATTTTTGACGACTATTATGCTGTTACACTTAGACATTTTGACTTTTGCTTGCTTTCATTCCTTTGATGGGTTTTAGAACTGTCGAGAGAAAGACAATGAAATCAAGATCAATCTTGGATTTTCTCATGCAATAGCAATACCAGTTGTGAATCTAATTGAAGGAACTTTGAGAACTGGAACAGGGATCAAATGTTTAGACTATCTGGTATTGGGAATTTGATCTTTTGTTGGTTTCAGTTGTCGTTAAATGGTTATAGAATAAGAAGATTGTGAGCCTTTCTTGATCGGTGTCATGAAATGTTTTATGAATCATGATCATATCATACAACCTGCTGGAACTGTGGCCTCAAAGTATGGACCTTTCAAAATGAGCATTGCCTTGAATTTCCTTTAATTAATATACTTCCTTTTCCTTTTGTTAGTTAGGTGGTTTGGTGGAGAACCACTATTGATCTCGACGGAATGGAGATAAATAGGATATTCAGAAACAAGCAAAAGAGCATAAATTGATGCCAAAGAGAAATAACAGTACAAGTGCCATAGTACATCTCCCCACTGTTCTTTCTAAAATACATATAAGATCCTGTCTACATTTCTCCACTTTAGTAACAGTATATATCAGCAGGCTCTGAATTTCTTCTGGGGATCAATGAAATAATAATAACACAAAGTAAAACATAACCAATTACTCAATAACTCAACATTAAATATATCAAATTTCATGGCAAATTGAAAGCTGCAATATGGCTGCTTAGATCTCCATGAGTTCTTCAAATGTCTTCATAGCAGAAGCTGGTAATCCAAGAAGCACATTGATGTTTCTCCTCTCTTTCCCGTGAGAAAGAAACAGAGAAACTTCCTTCTCTGGCAAAGCCACAGGTCCCGACACAACTGGCTCTCCCCACCCAAAATCTGTAGTGTGGAAAGAAAGCCTAGACCAAGTAGTAATAAGAAGAGTAGCAGTTAAAGATGGCCTAACTCTTGTTGCTTCAAAATAGTCTATGGCAGATCTCATGTAACTATCTGTTACCATTTTAACAGCTTCTTGAACCAACTTCACAGCAACAGAAAGTGGATTCTCAACTATCTCTGCAGCATTACAGAGTGCATTAGTTAACACGATCCCGTTTCCAAAATATCCTTCTGTAATTGAGGGATCAAATCTTGATCTTCCATCTACAGCAAAGAGCAGCTTTGTCTTTTGATCAGGTTTCATCTGTAATGCCTGAGTTCGCGCTTTCCAGACGAAAGCTGAAAGGGCTTCAAATGTAGTACACTTGGTAATATTTCCATCTTCTTTAGCTTTTGCTTTTAGTTGCTCTAGCTTCTCAGGGTCAAAACAGAAGGACTTGTATAACATTTCTTCTTGGTATAGTTTTGTAGAGTCTGATATATCTTCAATTTCAGCAAACTCATTGTGAGCATATTCAAATTTTGGTGGATTTCTAGCCTTGAGTATGCTCCTGTCTAGGAATGGAGGGACTTTGATTGGTACACCTCTGGCAGTTTCACCCCAAGAATTCACAAATTCCATTGCTCCAATCCCATCAAACATGCAATGGTTCATGCACAAACCAAGCACAAATCCCCCACATTTGAACTTTGTCACCTGAATATAGAAAATTGTCACTCAGTATGTCTGGAGAAACAAAGCATGGTGTCTACTGTCTAGCATCCTTAGAATGCTTTCTCAATTCAGAATCCAAACTTTATTGAAGATCCTAGTGAATAACCTATATGTAGTATGTGGACCTCAAAATGAAGTTTTGTTAACTTTTTGAGAAATTTTATCCTAGATTTGGTTTATTAAACGCGGATTGTTGGTCAAGCGATTGTGTAGTAGACACAAGTAAAGTGCATATCTCAGAATTGCACAAGAGACTATGCCCAAGGGCAAAGCTACATGGTTTGAAGGGGGTTCAATTGAATCCCCTTCGTCGGAGAATTATACTATGCAAATAGTGTGTGTGTGTTGATTATTGTATTCCCTTGAGCTTCTAGTGTAATTTGCTTTAGAGTGCAGGTTTGAATCCCAGGTGTGACATTTTTACATTTTTTATCCTTGTTAGAATTCTGTAACTCGAAGTAGAATAGAGAAATCACCCAAATCAACATTGTAGAACTTCTCCAAAGAAACATAGTACCTGAGCAATCAGGGGAGGCATTTCTAGTATGTTTTTAGCACCAGGAATGTCATAAACAAGCTTGCCAAGTGTTACAGGATCAGGCTTAGTAATATCACCAATGTCTTCTATGCTACAATTTGCTTCTGCCTCAACATAAACTGCTCCTTCTCCACTGCAGTTCACTATAAGTTTCCCTTCTTGGCTGATTGTCAATCTCCCAGCAAGTGGATAATAGTGAACAAGAACCTTTGATAAAGCTTCCTTGATTACTTCAACAGCATTCTCATTTCCTTTTTCCTCTGATTTGAAGCAGTAAATTGTTCGGACGGGGACGGCTATGTTCTGATCAAGATTTGAAAGGTAATATAGTCCCTTGTCTGTTTCCTCTGCTGGAGAAACCAAGGTTGGTTCTCCTTGCTTCACAATAAGCTCAACAGCAACATGGTTTTTACCATTCTCCATGTTGCAAGTTCAAAAAATCCTGTATAAAATAAATAAAAAAAATAACGTTAAAGGTATTTAAGTGGCATGGCATGAAACCATTAGTAGAACATAAGAGTACAGAAAAATGAAAATTACCTATAAGACAGGAATGTGTAATTAATGTTCTGATTTTGAGACTTAGAATGGTGTACTTGTTGGTGTGGAGATAAATGAATACTGGAAATATTTATATAGCAAATGCATGAGTAGAATAATTGGCTATTTGTTGAGTATTGGTTAACAAAGATGTACTACTGAAAAGGACTGCAGGAGCTGTTTTCATATTTAAAGCTATTCATAATCTGTCTTAATGGTGGAAGAGAAGACTAGCCCCAAAAAAATGAAGTTCTAATTTTATTTTTATTTTATTTTTGAAGTTTTTGCTTTGAAAAATAAGTTCTAAGAAAGATTTTGCTATTGTCATGTGGGTGTGGTAGGCTACTGGCCCCAAAACCAAATGTTACCAATTTACAATATCTGGCGTAAGGACTGAAGGAAACACTGGTAGAGTTTGGTAGAGTTGGCCTCCAAATTCAGCTGATGACTTGAATTGGTCTAATATTTTATACAGCAATAGGTCATATTTTCAGATAAAGTAGCTTCTGTCATTTTGAATCCTCTTTCTTAAAATTATGTTCTCATCTACGAAAAGACTACGACAACAACAAAAACCACAAAGTCGATCTGGGGAGGTAGTGTGTGTGCAAGAATTTTACCCCTACCTTGTGAAGGCCGAGAGGCTGTTTCTGATAGACCATCGGCTCAAGAAATAGATTTGATTAAATCCTCCGTGCAAATATAGTTCTTTTAATTTAAGGCAATCACGGTGTAATGCCAGAGGTAACATGGACTGGAATTTACTTTTTTCTTGCAATAGAAGGTTTAAGAGTTGAGTACTAAAATGGGTAATCAACATAGTAATCTTCAAATTACGTAATTCAAGGAAAATGGGACCATGATCTTTTGACTTATTTTATGGTTTCCATTTGCTTATTGTTAGAGTTTTATATTATCATGGACCTCACGCCGAGTTCGAGTTTTGTGTGGACGTTTAAAATTTTTGTTTTTTTAGTTTTTTGTTTTTTTCACACATAAGAGATCTAAATTTAAAATACAAAAGATTTGTGTTAGGTCATATTCTTCTATTCAAGGCTATGTTCGTCGATTTCTCTGTGTGGAGTGTGGACGGTGCCTGCAAATTGCTTGGAATTTCTCATGCATTATATGAGTTCTGAGATCCACGCATAAAGATGAATTACTTTATTAATCAGCAGAAATGATTAAGGAAAAAAAAAGGGCTTAATTCCTACACACGAAAAAATGATTGGTGACTTTTTTGTCGCTGAAAAAAGAAAAGATAGCTAAAATCCTTTGCCATAAATGCAGGAAACAAATTAGACAATTCTCTAAATAATTGAATGAATAACTCTATCTGCAGTTCCTATGAAGCAAGTATTTGATAAGCTTTTGAAATCAACCAGGAAGATGATCAGTTTATTTTCCAAAACTGAATATGCATATACATAATTTTCAAGAATATATTGCAATATATGATAACAGCATGTAAAACACTTAGGGCTGGTAGGGTGCATAAGAATAATGTTGAATATGGTGTATTAGTAATGCTGGTATTAGTTATGCTGGCATTAGTTATGGTGACATATTTTTTATCCATTGTTTGGTTTGATGTATTAAAGCATTGCACAATTTTTAAAAGAATTGTTTGTTTACAAAAATACCCTCATAAACAGTCTATCACTTTATCTTTTTTTTAAAAAAAAAAACATATATTGAGGAATGTTTTTATATGACAAAGGATTTAAAAAATTATTTGATTTATCTACCTATATTGTTGTGTAGAACTGAATATTAGTTTATAAAAAGAAAATATGCTAAGTATTTATTTATCTACTAGGGATATAATTTTATTTCCCACTTTCTTGGATTTAGGCAAAGAAAGTTTGAATTAAAAAAATAAAAGGAAAATAAGTTGATTACAAGTGCATTTCATTACGTAGTTGTAGGGTACAGATTTATAAATTTACAATGACGAAAATGATGTTGTATAGATATAAATAGTTGGAGCAATGTCAGTATCAAATTTTACATCAAACTTGCATTAATATAATAGCATAATTTATTTAAGCATAAATTTTGAAGGGCAATTTTGTCTTTAACTAAACTAATGCATGCATTAAAACCCCTTGTATTCTTTTAATACCATAGTTTCCTATGCATTAGTTATGCATAGGATAATACCAAATATGATGTATAATTATACTTGCATAACTAATGCATAAGTTCAAAAAGTGTATCAATCAAAGTATTATTAATACACAAAGCTAATGCATGCATTATTTTATTTAATGCATCCTACCAAGCGATCCCCTAATATGAGACAAATAAGGTAAAAACTTCTTTTCCTGAATACAAGTACAGTATTGTTTAAACAATCTCAACGTAAAACATCTAAACCCTACAGTAGGACATTATCAACCTGGAAACAAAAGCAAAACCAAGATTTAAAGTTTATGGGTTTTAAATTTACACCAAACCCATAGCTCGTTAGTTACTAGGGTTCATAGCTCGTTAGTTACTGGGTTTGTCCGAACCCGTAGATAACACCCTCCCTCCGCCCCTGCCTGGAAACACAAGGAAAAGACAGCAATAGCAATTTTAAGTAAACCCTCAGGCCGTTTGAAGGTTTTTTTTATCTTTTATTCAGCAGTACACATGATACAGATTATTATAGTCATTCACCATATCTAACCTCTGGCAATCTGCAATAGTTCTAAAAAAATTAAAAATACAAGAAGCTCAAACACTGATTATCAGCAAGAGATGGGATAAGGAAATCCCAAGGTTACATCTACAGATTAGCTAACACAGAAATGCCTATCTTACACACTATCCTAGTGAGACAACCATCTGTATATCCTCTAACTAACAGTATAACTTCTCTTGCATACATGTCTATACAGAGGACAACATGCAAATCAGAACAATTAACAAAGCTCGTATGGGTAGCAAATCTTGACTTGTAAATCAAGCATCACTGTCATCACCTCCTCCATGTTTTTCTGCATCATCACCACCTTCAGCTTCATCCTCTTCTTCCTCATCACTCATGTTATTTATTACTTCAGTGATTATTGCCTTCACCTCTGCTTTTCTGTGCATCAAATCCACATCAAAGTGGCTACCTGAAATAAAGCCCCAGTAAACAAGGTTAGAAAATGAGAGATCAGTACAACAGATTCTTGAATAGCAGGTAGAATGAGTATTTGAATAAACGCACCTAGTTTCCTGATAATATCAGATAAAGTTGCCTGCATTCAAGTAGTGCAAGAACATGATCGGTGTGAAGCTCAAGCACTAATTTAAAAGTTCAAAAATAAAAATAAAAAAATATTGACTTTTATGTTTGATAAGCAGTAAAAGAAGTATGACTTACAGTGTTAAAATCAACTTCTTGAAGAATATTTGCTACTACTGCATGCAATTCTTCTTTGGTGGGCTCTGCTTTGGCCTTCTTTACACTTTTCCCTTTTCCTATTCCAAATGGTGAGACAGTCAAAAATGTGTAAGATACATAAAACTAACAAGAGAATCTGTGTTTGGTATAATAATCTGTAAATCCCAGAATACGGATGGACATCACGATTCTGGACAATCATGACATTAGAATACAGCACATAAAAATACTCATTTTGAGAAAAGGAGAAGGCAGTGTATCCTGAAACATCACTCTTCACAACAATATCTCGAAAAACTAACTGAAGCTCTTTAGTTTCTCACCATAGAGAAGAATGGAAGCACATATATTATACTAGTATTAACTGGGGGGGGGGGNNNGCACTTGAGATATGATTGTGCACCGCTTAGGTCGATCTTTGACAATAGCAGGTGTGACATAAATTGGGGCAATGCATTGAACAGTTAGGCCTAGAAGTGTGGTTTAGTTTGCTCGAGGACGAGCAAAGGTTTAAGTGTGGGGTGTTGATAATAGGTGAATTTGACTATAATCACACCTTAAATAATCACCTTCTTGTGTATTTTTAATGCTAAAAGTGATAACAAAATGCTCTTATTAGTGCTTTTCATGATGTGCAGGTGATATATGTATAAGGAAGGCTAAGGAGCAGTTTTGGAGTCAAAATTGATGAAAAAGAGGCCAACTGTGAAATTTCCCAAGTGAACCATGCAAAACAGGCCGAAGATTCAGAGCACTGGGTCCACCGCGGTTCCACCGCGACCGCGGCAGAACCGCGGTGGGAAGCAGCTGCAGAACCTCAGTGATTCCGCGAGGGTGTTTGGCCGCGGTTCTACCGCGACCGCGGCAGAACCGCGGCAGGCGCAGAAACTTCAGGGACCAAAGTGTCAATTACGGGATTTTTAGACCTAAAACCTATTTAAAACATTAGACTTCGCCCAAGAGAGGCATGTATTGATTTTTAAGGTTTCTTAGCAAGAAAAACCATTGTGAGAGAGTACTCTAAAAATCTTTCTTCTTTTCTTTTGATTTTTATGATGAATTCAATCTTAGTTTATTTTCCCATAGCCATGAGTAGCTAAATTTCTTGTCTAAGGTTTTGATGGAACCTATTGGGTGATGAACTTCTTGTTTATGTGAATACAAAATTGCCAGTTTAATCTCTATTTGTTCAACTTCATGTTCGTTGTAGTTAATTGACAGGATCCTCAATTAGCTGTGCCTATTTAGTGTGCATAACTTGGAAAAAAATGCATATTTAGGTTATTGTTGAACAACACCACTCCTAGATTATTAGAGGAATCTATAATTGCGGGTTTAAAGGCGAGATTAGGGATAACGAAGCCTTTGGTGTAATCTAAAGTGAATCGTGCTAAATAAAGTAAGCTAGTGTATCTTGGAAGAGTGCAATAGTAAATTACTGTGAGTACTTGGGAGAGATTTGCGGTAAGATTAGCGTTCATGATTTATAGAGATGTGTGGGTAAGTTTGTATGAGCATAAACAGAAGGGATTCCATCAATAGGGGAAATCATTGCCTTAGCGTTTCCTCATAATTGTTTACAACCTCATTAGTTTAGTTTACAACTATTTAGTTACTTGCAAACTAGTCGTTAAAGAACACTCAACTGAGATTTGAATATTTGGGAAACTGGTTCTGAAGAATTAGTGGGTCTGAAGATAGTAGTTGGTAGGTTAACTCTCTGTGGATTCGACCC